CTATTCCACAGCACTGAACCTCTAAAAAGGAGGCAGTTTTTGACAAAATGTTCACGGGACACTAAAGCAGCTAATTTGCCCTCAGGGTTCCCCACAGAATGATTAGAGATTTCACTTCGCTAAGTAACCGTACAAAGACTGGAGGCAGGGCCAATCAGAGCCTGATAGACCATGGCCGCAATTTTGAAGTTTATGCAGGTAATGTGCAAGGCATTTGTTTCAATTTCCTCAAAACAATACCACAGTACCACAATAATAATTTTTCGATGGCGTAGTGAAAAGATGAAAGCTTAACAAATACAGCGTAAGGGCAAATTCTCGTCGGAAAGATGACGATGCAAGAAGGACAACTTCTCTTTCTCATTTAACCGTAGAGATCTAATAAATGCAACCTCTTTTATAGAGGCATTATCAATAATAAGGGAGTGAGTTGTACTCAACGTCCCTTACCTTTGCATTAACGCAATAAACATAAATTCTGTTTCCCAATAATCGAATCAGTAATTTCTTGTGAAGAAGTTTTGAAGAAAAATATGGTATGGAGAGACATCCCGGAAGCTTCGAGCTTCTAGCTGGCAATTTATGATATAATGTAAGCGTAGACTCCTTATTTCTCTTTCAGAATAAATATAAATTATTGCTTTAGAGACGACCTCGTAGATAAAACAATTTTTATTCCTTTTCCTGTTCTTGGCTTGTTTTGTTGTTTGGTTTTGCTTCGTTTTGAGTTTCCTTTTTGTTTGTTTGTTTTATGTTTGCGTTCCTTTTTTCCCCTCCGGACGGGAGCTTTTTTTAGCGAAATAAAGGGTTAAATGTAGTTCGACTTTTCTTTCAGCCTTACTGACAGTCTAAACTCCAATAAAAAAAAAAAAAAAGCTTAATAGTCGCTATCTTAGTGTCATCAATGACTTCATAGATTATAAAATGTTTTACCCCGAGCACATTTCATGGGACATACCAGCGAGGAAGCACGCATTTTTCAATGGTTCGCGCCTATTTACAGCTTCCTGTCAAAAATACATTCGAGATAGCAATTAAAAAATTACATATTTGAATAAAAGAGAGACTCTTAGTGAGAGAAAAACTTTTCTTGATGTGGCGAGGTGCCTTCTAACTTTCACTCTCACCACTCCTATCCCAGTGAGAGAGTTAAGAGTTAAGCCTCCCAGTGACTATTCGAATTCTTTATCGTATGGTTTTAAAGCTGTTAGAGTACTTCATATCTATCAAGGGATGCTATCAAATCCTCACCAACTTATAACCAAAATAATAAGTGCCCTGCTTTGGATTGTAATATATTTGCAATGTCTTACTAGGTCTATTGTGATATCCTGGCAAGTCTTAAAGGATGGACTCTTATCGCTTGATTCTCAAACAGCGATGGCAAGAGTTGGATGCGCGACGATGGTAGATGGTGGTATGACCAACAAGCTGCCAATGGAAAAAGAAATGACCTATGAGTAAACGCTGATATGATATCACCTGCCTTTCGGTTGGTCAGATGAAACGAGTTTAAGATCATGCGTAGTGACGACCCCATCCACACCCCTCTGTTACGGACCACAGGTAACTGTTTGGGTGGCCAAACATTCCGATCTAAGATCACAAATTGTGGGGATTTTAGAGATTTCAAGGTTTGGGCCAGTAATCAGTGTCTGTGAAGTTGTACGGTTCAGTATGGCGGACACGTGCAGATCATCGGATTGGGATCACAGAAGCTGCCACTGCTTTTTTCGTTGAAGGTGGTGGTCAAACTGAGTATGACTTTTGTTATGATGCCATGTCAAGTACCCGTCCATCCCAGTCCTACTCGTTGAACTTATGGCTCCGTCAAAAATTATAATATCTCTCTTTTCCCAACTCAGTTTAGAACTGAAGAACGTTGAAAAGGATGATGCTCACTTCTTGTCACCTTTTTATCTAAGTTTCATTATCATACGTACATGAAAACTTATATCTCCTCTGGAGTACAAGGGCGGAAGGGAGGGATTGGTTGGAACTCTCCCTTGTGTTTTATTTACATTGCAAAAATTTCAGAAGGTTTTTACCTTAAATAGATAGCTTCCGTCTACGAGATGTGGTTAATATCAGAGGATACATATGCAAATTGGGCTGTTGGGATTCGGTGACGTCATCCGGCGTGGCAGTCTTTTTTAGATTTTTCTTTCCTTGTTTCACTATAATTGTTGGTTTTTCAAAAGAAAAGTAGTTATCGAGCTTGAAAGGAAAATGAAAATAAGACTAAGGGTTTACTGTTTCACTTCGAAAATTAAAACCGTTAATTCTTTCATAGTTATATCGACCCTTAAACCACACCTCACTTGTCATTAATAAAATATCTCTCCCATGTCTATCATATAATTTTCACCAAGTTCACAGCAAAATAAACAATCTTCTTGAATAAATTTGCCAAAAAAAAAACCAAGGGCGGAAGGGAACACCCCCTATCCCCAACTCCCCCCCCCCCTCCCCCTTGTACGTCCGTGGGCTAATCAATGAGCATTTTCAATGGTCAGTAAATGTTGAGTTTGCGTCTCGTAGGTTAGCTAAAATGACTTTCTTTGCAGTCAAGTCGCACTGCTTTGAACTTATGGATTAGTTAAAATGATTTTCCGCTTTCACAATCATGATATTTATACCTCTTTTAACGGTTGTTTGAATGTAGTAGACAATGTATCAGAGTTCATTCAGTGGGATCCTCATGGCGAGGAATTTCTCAACGTCTGAAACAAGAGTTTCCCATTTTAGACATGTCAACGGCTCATGCTTTTGAAAATAATTTCTTTTCAATTAAAGATTTCGGTTCCGGTATGCAAAACTACTAGATCATGAGTGTCCACGCGACAAGGCTTTAGGATAAACAGACAACACAACAGGAAACATTTGCATTTTAAACATAGTAAAAGTTAGATTGATACCTGCTGGTCCAATACTGCTCCTCATCTGTTTGTTTTATAATGACATATATAAAACATCGGATATTAACAACGAAACGCACAATGCTACGTCTCTATAGCATTTTCTGCCGATAGATGAGCCTGTTTTAATTTCATCTAAGGAGAAGAACGCCTTGCCTCGTTCCATTGTTATAAACGGGTAATATCATTGTTTTAATAATATATTATACATATTATGTTTAATATCTTCGTTTTCTAAAATGATTTTAGAAAACAACGAGTAAATGTACTAGTTTTTGGCGTTAACTACCTCTAGAACTTGTTATTTGGAAGAAAATCGGAAAATCAGAAAATCAACATGAAATATGTTCGGAATTGAGCCTGAATGTTTCTCGGGGGAAAAAAACCCATATGCCAAAGAATCACCTTTCAAAATTGTGAGCGTGGGTTGTTAACTGATCTATCCTGAGAGGCATAGACAATCACGCTATAAATAATTTATCATGCTAAAAATGCCAAATGACATTAAAAATTCATTGCTTAGCGTCGCAGAAATGAGGGCAGTGGTCGTTGAATTAGGACCCAAATTCTTGATGTCCAGACGCGCATCATACTAAAATCGTCAGCAGTGTTCGAATAGTCTGTCGCTGTACATATTTCAGTCTATGTGATGTATCTGAAAGGACAAGGCCTCACTTTCAGGGTGCTTTCCTTTAGTTTTGCGTCTGTTCTTTTGTTCACATGGTTTCACTGCCGGGCTGTTGCAGACGAAGGTGACCTTATTATTATGTTTTTAGCTATATCGTAAACTGGATATTTTTGCTGGAATAGAATTTAAAGCTTTCAGATTAACTATACTTTCAGTTCATTTTTGGTAATGTTATGCTGAAAGCTGCCATCTCCTTTGTATCACCATGGCATTCTCTTTCACCTACTTCAGAAAGCAATGAAGATCATTTTTTTCCTCGAGAATACCAGATTGCGAAAAACGTTTAAGCCTGTGTCTTCGATGAAGGGTTTGAATTTGTTGCTAAGACTCTCATCCATTCACTGTTGATCAAAATATTGCTGAGTCCCCTTACAATATGATTAACACTGAACTTTGGGGAAAGAGCAATGATATAAAAAATTTTTCTGAGGATAATGGTAAGATATGAGAGGAGAAAGAAAGAGAGGGGAAATAAGTAGAGGAGTATGAGGTTTTGATTATTCATGCATCTGTTTCAAAGTGGCATATTCTTGAAAAGTGCTGCAACTGCTTTGTTTCGAAAAAGAGACAGTAAGTGAAGGAAGTCAACGTATACTGAAAATTAAGTGAGGGGTATCTTAAGAACACGCCGTCATAATGTTGAAGAATTCATGACGATAAATTTGTTTCATCGATCCCTTTGCTGAATTTTCTCTTTGTTATTGTTCTCATAAAGAGTATAAGAAATATCTTTTCGTGGAAACTTGCCAGCTTTAACCGGTTGATTTTCGTAAGTCACCTCTGATGTTAGATGTTGCCAGTTTACGAATGCAAGATAGCGGAGAAAAACAGGCTTGGTGTGATGTAATTCGGCTGTCTTAGATATAAGATATTGAATTTGAAATCTTACAAAAATATGGGAAAGGAAAAAATATCAATATACTTCTTACGGATCAATAATTCAAAGTTTTAAACAGGAGTAGGCTTCCTGTATATGCTAATTAAATGATATAGGCAAATTTCAGTCTAGGTTTACATAAATTTACTGCAGGTTTTCAATTGATATGTGATCTGTTACCGAACACATTTAATAATCAGGCCTTAGAATTTTACCATATCGTTTTACACTTTGTCAAGTTCCTTTCAATTTGTTATAAAATTGCTTGATTCAAATGCCGGGGAACTGATCAGATTTCGGTGGCCTGGTGAAGATAGCATATAACTTCGTCCTCGAAATGCAGTTTGGACTCCTTGAACTTACAAGGAACTATTTCCATTTACTAATAAAAATACTAGTTGTTCTAGCGCAGGCTTCTCATGGTACGTAAAGCGTTTTAGACTGACTCCTGATTAAATATCGTCCATGAGTACAATACTTTTAACTTATCATTTATCATTCCCTTCTTCATTTCTAGAAACAAAAGTCGTCGATATGCGAGGTAAACCTCTAAGCCGAGGCACAGGTGAAGGAATACCTTATGCCAACTTTAAGACACACAAGTTTTCCTACCTCAACATCACTACTATTGGCTCGGATTATGTTGGAAAGGGCAGCGAGTGTGGATTTGCTTGTGTCAACCTTCCGTCGTGTTTTTCGTTTAACCTGGCTGCATTTCATGATATGAATGGCAAAGTTCTGTGTGAATTACTTCCATCGGATTTGTACAACAACTCAGACAAGCTTGTCCCTAGTCAGAGTCACCATCACTATAGTATCGCAGTAAGTTGGAAACGAAAAAACGTTCACTCTGTTTTTATAAAAGGAAAAGAAGAGGAATTGCTGCAATTGCTAAGGCCGGTTTTTTAAAACTTTTTAAAAATACGCCTAAAAGCTAACTGGTCCAATCTGACAACAGTAACATTTAAGCCATGTGTTTTTCTTTTGAAGTTTCTTTATAGTGGAAGGAGGACAGTGTGGTTAATTGCAGAAATAGGAAGAGGGGTTATTTGAGCGGAAGACTTACAAAGAATTATTGGTATTAGCGGGGAAGGTTTAATTAGAGATACTGACTATTTGGAAACACGGTCCATGATTATATACAAAATGATTGGTGCCATATCTTTCTCGTTTCTTTCTCTTTGGTATATGTTTTCTTTAGTCTCCATGTTTTAAATGGCCTTGTCAGAACAATGGGAAATGTGCGGCACAGTACGAGAAGAACAGTTACGTGTGCGTTTGCGCGAAAGGATACACAGGGGAACATTGCGAAACGGGTGAGACATAATTTAGTGTACATTTACAACACTGCTTCAAACTTAACTGACGGCGTAATTCTCTTCCATTACCGGAGAATGACTCAAAGCTTTGCTGTTTACCACTTTCTTGTCCTCATCGAATATTTCCGAATTCTTCCGTTAATTCACTCCAAGTTAATTTCGTTTAATATTCAGATATGGACGAGTGCAGTGCTTCCATCTGGCCTTGTGACGTTAATGCAAACTGCCAGAACACCTATGGCTCCCACAAGTGTTCCTGTAAAAGTGGATTTTATGGAAATGGAAAAACATGTATACATAGCGGTAAACCCTGTTTGTTATTTGTTAGTCACATTACTTAGAGTCAGTTTATTAGTTAGGCTATAACTAATTCCTCTCCACCAGTTTTGATAACTTCATCTTTTTTTAAATAAGCTTGCGCTCACTGACCAAAAACAACATTTTCATACCGAAAGCTTTTGGCCTCTGGTGTAAGGCTTTCAAAGATTTATTTGACAAGAAGCTAGAAGATAAAGTAAAAGAAAATGTACGGTTTATAAAACATAGGATTATTGCTTTGCAACAACTAACAACCATTATCTATTTCACATCTCCAAACTTTCTGGCCGATTGTGGATATCAGGTGGTAAAACCGAGAAAGTGACCTTTCCCCCCCCCCCCGCATTTTTTCTATTAGACTAGCAAGTGAGGCTCTGAAAATTGCAATCGGTGCCCTAAATCCGTAGTTATATCGATCTACCTCTGGCTCAAAAGTTGGTCTTCAAAGAGTGTCTTAATGTAGTGATGGTTTTTACGGCTAACGGTTAATATTTTTCATTATGGTCACCGCAAATTTTTTATTTTTTTATTTTTTTATTTTTTTTTTACCACCGATAAAAACAGAAGAAGGGTGGGAACATTGCACAATTCGTTTCAAGTTAGAAAGAGAATACAGAGCTATCCTCAACAATATTCCCATCATATGCCAGAAAGACGCAGAAATAAAATTAAAATGTCTATGCACTATAATAATAATAATCATCATCAAAAAACACAAAATATGAGAACTGTTTTTTCACTACAGGCTGGACTCTTATCGCTCGATTCTCAAACAGCGATGGCAAAAATTGGATGCGTGACGATGGTAGATGGTGGTATGACCAACAAATTGCCATTGGAGCGACAAACAACTCTTCAAAGAACGACGATATGATTTCAACAGCCTTTTGGTCGGTCAGCGGCAGAGAAATAAAGATCACGCGCAGTGACGACCCCAGCCACATCCCTCTGTTACAGACCACAGGTAACTGTTTGGGTGGACAAACATTTCGATCTAAAATCACAATTTATGGCGACTTTAGAAATGGCACGGTTTGGGCCGACGATCAGTGTCTGGGAAATTGTACAGTTCAATACGGCGGACATTACAAGTCAACAGACGGGTTCCAACAGGCTGAGTGCGGTGGAAGCATCCAAAGTGCTAACAAGATCGGCTTCTGGTGTGACTGGGATGCTGGGGATGGAGCAGTGATGATGATTGGAGGAGGAGGAAGTAGCTGTGCACGTGCTGATCATGGGATTGGGATCACAGAAACTAACGAAGCTTCTTTTGTTGACCTGGGAAGCACTGCTACTGAATATGACTTTGGTTATGATGCTCAAACAAATAACGCTCCAACCCAGTCTTACTCGTTGAATTTGTGGATCCGTTAGGAATTACAAGTTACTTCTTTTCCGCTGATAATTTTGCGCAAAACTGATGAACTTTGGGATACATAATAGCTCCAAAGGATATAAAAAGAAATACAGTAACTTTATTTAGTCCATGGTATAAAATCAGGATTGATAAAATAGTCAAAATGCAGTTAACATTCTTCAACAAACTGTAGCTAAAACAAATGTTAACATTCCTGAGAATATCAGTTAATACTTAAAAGTCCCTGATTTCCATGAACGCGGTGCATTTAATGGATTATAGATTTTCTCGCACGATATTGCTGCAGCTGGAATTATGGAGGAGAGAGTTTATGCTTGCTGCAGCTTAACAGGCAAACTATTCCCCAATACTGAACCCCTAAAAATGAGGCAGTGTTTGACGAAGTGTTCTCGGGGCAGTAGTGGAGCTTATTTGCCCTCAGGGTTCCTCACAGAATAGTGAGAGATTTCACTTCGCAAAGAGAGTGTAGACCATGGCTGCAATTTTCAAGTTTCCGCTGGCAATATGCAGGGCATTTGTTTCAATTTCCCCAAAACGATACCGCAGTACCACAATAACACTTTTTTATGGCGTATTTAAAATATTAAAGCCCTTCAAATGAAACCTAACGCCAAATTCTCGTCAGAAGGTACCGATGCCAGAACAACAAAGTCTCTTCCTTATTTAACCTTGGAGATTTAGTAAGTGCAACTTGTTTCATAGCGGCATTATCAATAATATGGGAAGGAGCTGTACTAAACGTCTCTAACCTTTTCATTAAGGCAATAAACATAAATTGTGTTTCACATTTATCAAGAGTCAGACTTTTTGTTTTTAGTTTATGATATCTTACTACTCGTAAACTTTTGCAAGTTCCTCCTTTAAACGCGTTCAAGATGTGCAACCTTATTACCTTATTATTGAAAGGCGCCAACATGGCTGCCACGTTTTCTGGAGCTCTTCGCCTATCTACCATTTTTGGTGTTCTTTTCGTTTTGAATGCTGCCCAAGAATGCTACAATTGTCACTATAGGAGGGCTGAAAGTCCTTGGCTTTTCAAACATATTTTATCCAAGTTTACTACTCCTAAATTTAGAGTTCGCCGGCCGGTGGTGTTGTGGGGCGTCCATGGTCTAACCTTGCTTGCAGTACCGGAGAAATATATCACGCTAGATATCACTATAGATATGGACGTAGAGTCACAACCGGGTCCAGAGATAGACAGGAGTTTCGGAGGAGTTAATAAGAACTACCCGATGTTAATGCGAACTAAGTCGGCGTCTTTGAAATGCTCTGAACTCTTGTCTCTCCGAAACAAAGCTTTCAAGCCATCTCCGGCCGTTCTATCTCAGTTCAAGTCACTCGGCATTCTGAAATACCGTGGGCAACATAGTGCTCGAATCCCACGATCCATCTCAACCAAGAAAATCCCGGTGATGCAAGGCCGCCGTTTCATCAAGGTTGAAGGTCGGAAAGTGGATCGGAGTAACTTAATTAACATTCCGCGTGTCAACACAACCGACAAAACATCCACCTCTAAATCAAAGGGTTTCGCTGTCCCAAAATGTTTGTTTACGAACATTTGTGGTTTGTCGAAAACAAAAAATCGTGTACGAGCACCTGTGGCGCTTGAGGCTGACCTGAGATCTCAGGATATTGATGTGTGTATTGTCAGTGAAACTCATCTTTCCACTAATATGCCGGACGCCGTGGTGAATATCCCAAATTACAATGTGTTCAGGCGGGACAGAGGTTGGGCAGACTTGGACAAAAGGAAAAAAGGGGGTGTTGCGGTCTATGTGAGAGACAGTCTTAAAGTCTTGGATGTCTATCGGTCCAATTTATATGAATTTATTGCTTTAACAGTGCAGTTGCCGTCCGATCACATTATGCTAATTTGCGGCCTGTATAATCCTCCCAAGCATAGCTACCGGGATCTCGACTTAATTAATTATATAATATCTTTTGTGGACATTGTGTTGAACAAACACCCAGAAGCGGCTATTGTCTGTGGTGGCGATGTAAATCGTTTGGATATGCAAGAATTTAAGGCTTTGTCTGGCTGGGATTTCGTGGTTGATTTTCCCACGCGGGGTAACGCGTGCTTGGATAACTGTATGACCAACCGAGCGGATCTGTTCGGTCAAGCATATTCCATACATATGCTTATTAAGACAGACCATGAAGGCTTTGTTTTACCGGCGGGATTAAAGCTTAAACCTATGCGCCGCAAAGTTCTTGTGCGGGACTGTAGGGAACATCGGAAACAGTCATTTTATATGGCACTCACTGCGCTGGACTGGAGTGACGTCCTCAATGAGGTGGACATAAACAAGGCGGTCGAGGTGCTTGAGGTAAAGATTCGTGCAGTGATGAATAAGTTTATGCCGCAAAAATCTGTACGCATGTCATCGCGTGACCCAGTTTGGATGTCCCCATTAGTCAAGTGTATGCTGAGGACTAAGTCCCATATATCTTTAAAGAATAAGGAACGTCTGTCTTTATTTAATAAGCGCATTTCTGAGCTGATAACCGAGAACAGAAGAAAACTGGCTGCCATTGGTAGCGGTGAGTGGTGGAAGGGCGTGGACGCCCTATCGCAGCGTCGCAGGTCATCGTTGATAAATTTGGACAAGAACTCTCTAGTTCGTCTGAACGACTACTTCGCCAACCTGTGCTATGATGACACTTACGTTAGACCTAGTGATATGGATATCCCGGACAGTGTAAAGCCCCCGAAAATATCTGAGCGGTGTGTCTGGAATACCTTAGTTCATGTAAAGAAAACCGCAACGGGACCAGACGACCTCCCGTACTGGATCTGGAAAGACTGTGCTGAGCTACTCACACCAATCGTCACTCACGTTTGGAATCTGTCGCTGTCTACTCATACATGGCCAGACTCCTGGAAAAGGGCAAATGTTAACCCTCTCCCCAAAGTGAACATGCCTATAGAGGACTCGGACTACCGTGGTATTAATGTTACTCCCGTTATTGCCCGGTTGTTTGAGAAGGTCGTGTATCGTACACAAGCACAGTCAGTCATTGAGAGCAACCTGAGCCACACCCAATTTGCATATAGACAGGCGGGTAGTTGCACAAATGCCTTGCTCGCTATCCAGCACCAGACATACAAGTATTTAGATAGTAGTGACTATAGCGCAGTGCGAATTTTTACCATGGACTTCAGTAAGGCTTTCGATTTTGTGAACCATGCTATTTTGTCTGCCAAACTGAAACAGCTACCTCTAAATCCGTACATTATCAATTGGTATCATAGTTTCCTCTATGCAAGACAACAGCGTGTTGTTAGTTATGATTTTTTAGGACAGTGGAAACTTGTCAATAGAGGAACCACACAAGGTAGTGTAAGCGGACCGTATCTTTTTAATATATTTTTGAACGATTTGGAGATTTTTTTTAATGGTTGCCCTGTGCTTTTTAAATATGCCGATGATTCCACTATTCTTTCGCCTATCACTAGGAATAGTGACCCGTCTGCCGACTTAGTAGGACGGTTCTTAACATGGTGTAAAGACAATAGAATGGTCTGCAACCCTTGCAAATGTAAAGAGATGGTTGTTAGAAAGAAAAATCATAATGTACTCTACTCTCCAATTAATAATATTCCCCAATGTAATAGCTTCGTTTTATTAGGAGTAACTTTACAGAGTGATGGAAAATTTGATGAGCATGTAAGAACTAAGCTTGTCAAAGCAAACAAGTGTTTACACGTCCTACGAACATTGAGAAAGGAACATTACTCTCAGGCAGAGATTGATCATCTTTTTATATCGATTGTTTTGGCTAATTTTAGCTATGCACTTTCAGTCTATGGGGCATCTGAGTCCGATCTTACGGTTGTGCAAAAATTTTTAGACCGATGTCATGAACGCGGTTTTATCTCATTTCCAGTTTTTATCAAGAACCTTTTAAACAAACAAGACAGAAACATTTTGAAGAAACTAAAATCAACGGATTGCCACCCCCTGAAAGATATCATTCCTGTCCAAAAGACATATCTACACAATCTCAGGAAAAAAGGCTGCGCGCGCCCGAAAATTAATACACAGCGCTTTATGAACACATTTGTAAATAGGTTGATATTTAAGCTCCATTTATTGTAATGATATACTTTTTAATTCATGATATGTATGTAGATTTCTGTAGTTTTTTCAATTCATTGTAACATAAGATATGTAGTTTTATCTTATGATGGAATAAAGACCATATATATATTACCGGCAAATGGTAAGAGCGTATCGTCCACATACATCCTCTATTGACCATAGGAAAGACAGAACTGTATGGAAAAATACGAGCTAAAAATTGACGGATTATATAAAAACATTTATTACCCGCTAATGATCAAATTTACCTTTCAAAGATCTTTTTGGGACAATCGAAATAGAACAAGGAACTACTGTAACCCTCTGAAAAAAAACGCAAAGACATTGTCATTAAAGCGGCCGACAAAGGCGGCGCAGTTGTTGTTTGGCGGGCCGACCTCTATCAAAAAGAAGCTTTGCGGCAACTTTCTGACACCTCCTTTTATGCCAAAGTCGACAAAGACCTCACTGTAATTAACCAAAACATTGTCAAAAATACGATTAACGATCTTATAGCTAAACAAGAATTACCGGCCACTGCTAAAAATCTCATCATTACTACTCCTAGAACTTCATGTATTTACTTTTTATCTAAAATCCACCAACCTAACAACCCAGGTCGACCCATCGTTTCTGCCTGCAGTTGTCCCACTGAACTTATTTCCAGCTATTTAGACAAAATTATTGCACCTATCGTCAAAACTCTACCGTCTTACATTAAGGACAGCCAACACGCACTTGAAATTTTTCGTGACTTTAGTTTCCTCGACCAAAACAAACTTATTTTCACCATGGATATAACATCTCTTTACACTGTCATTCCCAATGACGAAGGTCTCCGGGCCCTCAAACATTTTTTTGATCTATGCACTGTTAAAGAACCTAGCTCTGAAACATTGCTCCATCTGGCCGAACTAGTACTCACACTCAATTGTTTTTCATTCGGTGGTAACTACTACAAACAAACTAATGGCGTGGCCATGGGTACTAAAATGGGACCAGCTACGCCAATCTTTCTGTAGGTTTTATCGAACACCAATTTTTTAGCCAATACCACGGCCCAAAACCTCAACTCTACGGCCGCTACATTGACGATTGCATCGGCGCTACCTCCTCTACCAAGGAGGAGCTCACTCAATTTATAACCGCCGTCAATTCCTTTCATCCGGCTCTTAAATATACCTGGCAAATTTCCGACACTTCTTTGGCTTTTCTAGCCATCAAAATTTCAATTGAAGGCAACGGCTTATGTACTAATGTTTACTACAAACCTACAGATTCACATAGTTACTTGTTGTATTCATCCTCACATCCATCACACGTCAAGAACTCCATACCTTTTTCACAGTTTCTCAGACTTCGTCGTTTATGTAGTGACGACTCTGATTTTTCCGAAAAATCAGAGGCAATGTGCCAGTTTTTCGATAAACGCAGCTATCCTGTTTCTGTCGTTCAAGCGGGCTACCACCGAGCCCAACTAATCGATCGACAGGCAGCACTACAAACGGTCGAGAAGGAGAACACTGACCGCATTCCATTTACTCTTACATTTCACCCTCACAACCACGCAGTTAAATCTATCATTCTTAAAAATTATAAATTACTCCAAAACGATTCAGAGACTGGCACTATCTTTTCGCAACCCCCAC